ATTCCATAAAAATTCTCTGAGATATCTTGATAGTCGTGATCACCCCTGATCATATTTATATCGTGATTCCCTAACGGTAACATGGTGAAAAAAAATCAACAACTTGATTTTTTGCAAAAAATTTTACGTTTTTTTTCGTATAAGTAGCCATAACTTTTTTATCACCCAAAGAATCGAAATTTTGAGCTCAGTTTCTGAAAGGGCATTAAATTTTACATCGAAATAGGTTCATACGAAACTTTTTGAAGGCCTCAAACTACAAAAAAAATCGCTGCGAAAACCAATAAAAAAATCAAGCAGTTTGGTCGTTAATGGGTTAATAACCTTCAATATACTTTATACTATTATAATTATAGTCACAGATCTTGTTTAAATTATTAGAATACAAGATCCACAAGATAAAAAAGAAGATACCAGGCTTTGCTGCCTTTTCAACAACTTTTGTTTTTTATGCATCTTTGGCCAAGATATTTCAGAGGAAAATCAATATATCTGCACTTGCTAAAGGTTCACCATCGATTGCGATAAATTATCAATTTTTCCAAAAAATTACTCTTACAAAAAAAAGCAAAAAAATTCCTGAACAAAGCGTTAATTTGAATTCAAGTTTAGATAGTAGATTTAGATGCACCAAAAGTTCATCATACTTAGATGATTACTGACAACTTGAAATACATGAGTTAAGATAACGTTTCTATATAACGTTCGCCTGAGTAGCACTAATTTCTCTAAAATCTGACTGAGCACATCATTTATTCATAAATCACGATTACCAAAGAAAATCCAAGCATTGATGCTCTTAAAAACGAATATGTATTTAGCCAATATATTTCAGAAAAAAGTGAATGTACATGAGCTTGCTAAAGGTTCACCACATCACAGCATTTAATTACTTATCATGGTAAACAAAGACGGTCCAGGCATTGCTGCTCTTTTTATAAATATTTTTTAAAAACAGATACATCTTTGGTCAAAATATTTTAGAAGAAAATCAATGTACCTGCGTTTACTAAAAGTTTATCATCAATTGCTGAGAATCGTCAATTCTTCCAAAACACTGCAACTACAAAGAAGCAGTGAATATGTCTAAACAATGTAATGAAAAAATGAGAAAGTTTTTGTTGCAGTTGCACCTAAAAAGCGGGAATCTTTCTTTTCTGGTGACCTGGGTCTGCTTGATCTGAACTTTTCAATTGATATACCGTCGCTGTTTATGAGTAAAAACTCACCTTGATGAAATACGTAATAAAGACAAACACCTATGAAAGACCAAGATATTTTCGACGAGATATTTTTTCACAGCATATCAATAAGGCGTGTTCTTCGTCACGGCGTTATTTAGCGAGGAGTGCTTTTTTACACGGAATTTTATAAAAAAGTTTTTTTTCACAGCGTGTTTCACTGTGTTTTTACGCATAAGCAGCAGCGATACACTAACACTGATGATAATTATCATTATATACAATAAACAGTACAACATACACATTTAATGAGTAAATTATAAGAACTATTTAGAATAATTAAACTATAAAAATAGAACATGAAGAAAAACCATCAATGTTGCTGATCTAAAGTAATTTCGTAGTTTTACCAGAAAATGTTAGCAGAATAAAAAAAAAAAATCAAGAAAAAGAAAAGTCAGAAAATCCCAACACAAGCATCGATGTTTCACATCTGGTGCGCTAAAGCTGGAGAAACTACTCTGATTACTTAACTCAATGAGAGGGAACGATTTGAAGAGTAAGCACTCATTGATAATGCACCAGATGTGAAACATCTGATTTTCTCGTTTTTTTGATTCATGTTTTTTGTTTTTTTTGTTTTCTTACTTTTTACTGGTTTGATTTTAGATTTTTGTATTAAATTGATTTTTTCTTGATTTTTCAAGTTTTAATTTGTTTTTAATTTTTTACTTCTTTTTTTGTTTCGACTTTTACTTGTTCGATTACTTTTGAATTCTTTAATTTTCTTAAATTAATAGTAAGATGTTTCACATCTTGCAGCTGTTCATAAACAGCTGGTTTTTTTCAATTTTCAATTTGATTTTTTTTACTTGTTTTTTACTTATTTTTTTGTTTCGACTTTTACTTGTTCGATTACTTTTAAATTCTTCAATTTTCTTTAATTGATTGATAAAGATGTTTCACATCTTGCAGCTGTTCATAAACAGCTGATTTTTTTTAATTTTTTCAATTTTCAATTTGTTTTATTAATCAAATTAGTACATTGAGCTATTATCGTTCGTTGTATCTTAATATAACATGATAAAAATTTCGACTTTCCTTAAGAAGACACACACTCATAGACACGTATACATACATGCAGTAATAAGTATCAGATTTGACAACGTGCATGATAGTGCATAGTCTCGCGACGTACATGCATAGACAACACATATGTACGTATTATATGTATTAGCGATACGCATAAGCAAGAGAGAGAAAGATATCTCAACGCAGTCAATCCCGTGAGCTGAGCCGACTGCTGTTGCTTATGCTGTTACGTTGCCTCGTGCGTATACGTAAACACAGGCATACGCCCGTCGAGTCTCGGCAGCAGGCAGCAGCAGAAAGCAGTTCTGTAGCTGGCGCGGCAGCCAATCACAGCGCGTAGCGCAAACCGACGCTGTATAGGCACATCTACTACCAAAGTTGCGCTCGCTCGGACGGACGGACGGACGGACGGACGCTCAGTTTTTACGGGTTTACCCCTGACACCAAACGCGAATATAGATGTTTCACATCAAAATATATTATTAAAATTTTAATTTGTATTTTAATACAAAGTTTAAAATTAACTCATACGTATTCCAAAAAATTTCAGCTCTTAATATTAAGTTTCAGAGGTCACTCAACGAGCATTTTGTTTTCCGATTGAGATAAGATTGAAAAAATTGGATAACTATAAGAACATGCATTTCCATGCAAAGTCTTATTATCTTTCAGAATTCAGCGATTAAGGGAACACACCAGTGTTAATCATCAATGTCATGTAATAAACATTCAATGTAATAAAATTCAATAATTCTGAGCTAGATCTATCCACTGAAAACCAGTAAAGCAGAATTTAAAGCTACAAAAATGAATCGTACAAAAACAGATGTATCGCAGCAAAACTTGCGAATTTTGAAAATCTAAAAACAGCGCTTAAAAAACCTATCAGAAAGGTGCGTGCAGTTTTTTTCATGATTGTTTATACTGAGCCATTTTCTTGAAGAAACGAATAAATGTTTTCATTTTTCAATTTTTAATATGGTTTTTTGGAATAAAGTCGTATTTTTCTGCATTAAAATAATTTTAAAGTGCATACTAAAACATACCTTTGGATTTTTCATAAAAAATCTTAAATTTTAGTACTGTCAAAAAATTTTCTGGATTTTTTCTGTTCATTTGCCGCCCGCTCGAAAATGAACATTGTGAAAAAAAATATCAAATATGTGCGTTTTTTTTCAATGAAATCCTTCTCTTAGGTAAAAACTGACTACAGCGTTCGATTTCCCAGTAAAAAATAAGTAAGAAATTGATAAAATCATTTCTACTCTCAAAACAGAGTTTGAAATATATTTTGTGGTTGACCGATTTTGCTCTTTTTTAAACACGTCTTTAAACTTCAAAAATCCATCGATACCATCTAAAATCATTTGCTTGGTTAGATTGATTGTGGCGTTCAAAATTTTTAAATTTTTTGAAAATCTATTTGCAAGTACAATTATGATTTGTCCATGGAGATGGCTCGTAAATTTCCATTACTGACTATCTCGCATGATTTTAAGATACTCGCAAAAACAACATCATATATTTTCAGTTCAATCTAAACGAATATATGTATGAATTTAAACAACGCAAATTAGCGATAAAAATCGTAACTACAATGTAAAACTTTCTTTCATTTGACATTAACAATTTATTTCAATTTTCATCAATTCATTTTAATTTGAACGGTGTAAAATGAAAAATTTCATTTCATTTCTAATGTAAAACTTTCGTAATTTAGAGTTTTACATTTAAGTAGACAAGATGGTGTTTTCAGATGATATTTTAAATGGCTATACAATTTAAAATAATTAAAATTTTTCTTATTGTAAAATATGTTCATATTAAGACTTATTAACTCTCCTAACCAAACTCTAAAATCCCAATAATATTACTTTTTTTATAATACTATATAGTGGAATTGGCCTGACTGTTTCAAAATGATTAGAAAATTACTCTTTTTCAACTTTGCAGGACAGAATTTAAAATAATTGTGCACAACTTAATTGACCTACCAAAATACGAAACATTTTAGGAAAATCAATATTTTATTAACACTAAATGTCATTTTCAAACTCTTTGGAAAAGAAGAAAATTTAAAAAAAGGTACTTTTCTGAGGATTTTGAGTCCTCAACAAAATCTTCTCGATAAAAATGAAGGAGATATAGCCATTTGAAAATTGACGACAATTCAATAAAGTTGCGATAATTTTATTGCGAATTGTATTCATATAAAATATTAAGAGTGTGCGGAGACTTTGCCGACTCAAATTTTCGATCTGTTGATGAGACATCCGGACCAATTTTGAAAGTATATTTTTGCGTATTTGTATTTGTCAATTTAAGTTTATGAGCGCGGGAATACGATGTTGACATTAGGCTAATTGTACGTTTGTGTAACTGTCAGTACTGATAGAAGCGCGATTATGCTCAGTCGTTATTTCACGATCAGATTGTAATATAAATTAGTACATTCTAAATAAAATAGTTATATTATTCATCAATTAGCGAATAGTTTCAAACACATTCTTTCATCGTTATCAGAGTATTTAAGGCAACGAAAAAAATGTTTCTAGATGTAGACAATCCGTGTTATTTATATGAAGATATCAATGCTGGCGTTCTTATCAGATTAAGCGATTACATAATTACCAATGACATTAAAGAAGAAAATTTAGAAGATGAAAGAGTTTTAAGTGATATGTTACGTGCTTCAGATAGAAGATATGTCGACATTGATCCCATTACATCTGAACTATTGAATGAATTTAAAGATAGGATAATTGCTTTTACAATTAAAGATTTGAGAGAAGAGCCTCTTTATTGTAGAAATCATGCCATATTGAAGGTCGCTTGCGTTGAATATGTACTGTATCCTGATGAAGATAATGAAGAATATGAAAAAATATATCGTTGCGACGAACGAAAAGTGATCGAGGCATATTATGATTTGTGTCGTTTTCGACAAGAAAATATACCCGACGATAAAACCGTCGTGGGTATTAAAAAATTTTTTCGAGGCGAACCATTTTTTTGGAATAATCTTTCGGAACCATTTGTTGAGAATAATCTTTTGGAAACAATCAGATCATATTTGGAAGGTATTTCGATCGAGGAAGCTGAAATACTGTTTATACAACGTACATCAATTGAAATAATGTGAGTAAATATTTGGAAAATAATTAAAATAATTTTTTACTCCAATATTAAATTTCAATTTCAGTGAAGGTTTACCACCGAACTCAATATAAAGTATGACTCCGATGATTAGAAGGTGTGCCAACCATCAGCAAATATAATCGTGCCCATCGAAGATCATCCACCAATATTGCTCACAAAAGACTAGCAGCCACATTCACCTACTCCGCAGATGTCTCATCGGTTTCAAACTGATTTTACAAGTGCTTAGTATTTTTTTAAATGTATCATTGTACCTTTATTACACAAATTTTTATATATTTTCCTTCAAATGTAATCGCCCAAAAAAAAAAAACTATTATTTATCTATTTATCCGAAATCATTGGCTAAACTACGGATGATTCAGGAATAAATCGTTCACATTGTAACTTGAATTTTTTAACAGACATTGCGTCACAGTTTTGCGCGTTGAAAGACACACGCAAGCTGTGTCCAAATTTTTCTTACTTGACAATACAGCTCCTTGAAAAATGTAGATCAAGTATAGGAATTAACCTTTTTATAAATGAGATTCAAATTTCTAAAAATTGTGAAAATATAGGATACACAAATATTCAAATTTTTGTTTGATTTATTGATATATTCCTTAAACATAATAATTTACATTTTTCACGTTTTGCCAATTGTGGAAATTTATTAAATTTTAATTTAACTAATAATTAATTGGTTCACTTAACACATTTCATACGTACACGAATACATATTCCCAAAAATTTTAGCTCTTAATATTATGTTTCAGAGGTCACTCAACGAGCATTTTGTTTTCCGATTGAGATAAGATTCAAAAAATTAGATAACTATAAGAACATGCATTTCCATGCAAAGTCTTATTATCTTTCAGAATTCAGCGATTAAGGGAACACACCAGTGTTAATCATCAATGTCATGTAATAAACATTCAATGTAATAAAATTCAATAATTCTGAGCTAGATCTATCCACTGAAAACCAGTAAAGCAGAATTTAAAGCTACAAAAATGAATCGTACAAAAACAGATGTATCGCAGCAAAACTTGCGAATTTTGAAAATCTAAAAACAGCGCTTAAAAAACCTATCAGAAAGGTGCGTGCAGTTTTTTTCATGATTGTTTATACTGAGCCATTTTCTTGAAGAAACGAATAAATGTTTTCATTTTTCAATTTTTAATATGGTTTTTTGGAATAAAGTCGTATTTTTCTGCATTAAAATAATTTTAAAGTGCATACTAAAACATACCTTTGGATTTTTCATAAAAAATCTTAAATTTTAGTACTGTCAAAAAATTTTCTGGATTTTTTCTGTTCATTTGCCGCCCACTTTTTTTAACAAAATGGCAACCATAAAGAAAACTGTTCATGCATATGTCATCGTGCAAGAAAATGCATGTACGGGTGAGAATGTATAATTTTTTGCTCGAAAACCATTGAGTTTAGAGAAAAGTTTCTAGTACAAAAAAATTTTCGAATTAATCAAAGAAGATTCCCAAATATTTTCAGAATTTTTTGATATGATTTTGGGAAATTGGTCTCGACAAATTTTCAGGAAATCGGAAAATCGCGCTCCAAAAATTCTGAAAAAATTTGAGATTGTTCATCAACCAATTCTAAGACTTTTTATGTTCTATAAACTATTTTTCATAAATTCAATGGTTTTCGAGATAAAAATTGAGATTGGTTTTTTTTTAACATTTTACTTCATGGCTGCTATTTCGTTTAGAAAAGTGTTTGGGAAAATCTATAAAAATTCCCTAAGGTACTTCTACATTCATAATCACCATGATCATATTTATATCTCGAGTTTTTTCCCGCAACAGTCTCAAAAAAATTCTTAAAGTTGATTTTTCGCCCAAATTTTTACGTTCTTTTTTGTTTGAACATGAAATTTTACATGAATCTATGAATAAGCAAAGACTTTTCAAGGCCGGAAAAAATCGTGTCGACTGCAAACGAACTATTTCCGTTCATTTTTAAGTAAAAGTCTCGTAGAGGACGTAGACGACTGCCGACCTGAGTTCCAGGTGCTCCGACAGCGATCGAAGACAACATATTCGTAATTTTCGAAGTAAAATGCTTCATCACCTCGACTTTTGCGCTTGATTCGTGCACGACAACCTCGGAGTACGAACACGAAGTTTGGATGGCCCATTGACAAGTCATTGCCGCATAGATTCGCGGCCACTATATTGCACTGTCAGGCTAAATTTTAGCCTGTCTCGAGATTATTTGTTTTTCTCGAGCCAAGCAGCGCATTGTAATGATCCATAGATCATTCTTTAAAACTAAATGCCTCGTATAATTATTAGCATATAAATTCATGCCGTTCAATGATGACAAGCGTTGAAAGTAGTATATAAGATAGTACAGTACTACGTTCAGATAAGAACGTAGCAGTATGAAAGAAAACATGTATAAGCGAGCGCACCACAGTGTGTGTGCCTACACGCATAAGCGAGAACAACAGTGTGTGTGCTTACACGAACAAGCGAGAGCGCCGCAGTATGAGTGCTCACATGTATAAGCAGTCGCGGCACTGTGTGAGTGAGCGCACGAATGAAGTACTGTATGGTATTGGTGTACAAAATTAAACGTATAATGGCACGTGTGGAAAAGTATGACTACAATGGAAATTGTTGAAGGGCATGACTATGCGTCGACCAACATGTACAATAACAGGTCTCAGACACAACAATTAAGCAATAAAATTCGGCGAATTACTGATATGCGCTTTCCTCTGCTTTTCAGTAAGCAAGGGGTGAAAGTCTATTGAAAACATATTGACAAAAAAGTATGAAAAACTGAGAGTATATAAAGAAGCTCCTGAGCTAAAGAAGGGGTCAGACGAATTGTAACGGTTAACAAGGGCGAAGCTCCGCGCGAAAGAAATTTATATTCATCAACTAAAAATTTCAAGTTTTTGCAAGTGAATTGGAGTGCGGTGAGAAATAATTCATCTCAATATCGGCTAACTGTTGAAGCTAGAGGATCATCAAAAAGTACTGCCGATCAGCAGGCCTTGGGCCTACCAATTCATTGAAGTACAGCTTTCAACTCTGCAGCAGCGAGAGCGCTTTCAACTGTACAGTAGCAGCCTAAACAAAATGAAGTACCAACGCCGTCGAAGAACTCTGGGTGTCACCATAAGCAGTAAGCCAAGAATTATTGTTAAGCAAAGACTTTAAATCGAAAATAAATCAATGTGTGCATTTTAAAAGTAATAAATGTAATAATATTATTTGTAAATCCCTCCCTATACACTACGCTGAGAACATTAACCCATCAAGTCCCAAGAGGACGTTTTTTTGACACTTATTTCGGTCGCTGTATTTTTGATGAAAAAGGGGTCAAAAAAATATGCGGATAGCCTGTTCTGATGTAAAATTTAATGCCCTTTTAAAATCCGAGCTCAGATTTCCGAAAAAATAATCGAGTCAAAAGTTATGGTTGATTTTATCAAAAAAAAAACCGGGATTTTGAAAAAAAATTTTTCATTTTTTGATTTTCCAAACGGAAAGCATTTAAAATCTCATGGTTTTCGTACAAATATCGCGTCCTTGACGTCTGAACTAAAAGTTAGAGGGGTTCCGATCCGTTTAAACAAACAAAATGGTGGTCAGAACGCGAAAAAATGAAAAAAAACTTCTAGAATTTTCAACTCGAAAATGAAGGACTTGAGGAAAAAATTTTATAGAACAAAAAGTGTTTAGAATTGATCAAAGAATACGTGTGAATTTTTTTTCAGAATTTTCGGAGCGATTTTTGGATTTTTGGATATGACAATTTTTCCAAAAATCCAAAAATGGTTCCAAAAATTCTGAAAAAAATCAAGAGTGTTCTTTGATCAATTCTAAAAACTTTTTGTTCCATAACTTTTTCTTGTAAAGTTGCTGGTTAGCGAGTTAAAAATTTTTGAACGTCCGGTTTCATTTTTGATTTTGGCTGAGAACCTTAATTTTTCGAATCGGAACCCCTCTAACTTTTAGTTTAGACATCGAGGACGCGATATTTGTACGAAAACTGCATAAAAGTGCATTTTTTGTGACAAGAATCATATTTAAGCTTTTAAACGGTTTATAAAAAAAATTCCCATCAGATTTGATCTAATTCTAATAAATTACAAAAAAAATGCATTGAAACAGCATAAAATTGCATTTTAATGCATAAACGAAATAAAAAATGCAACGACAATCATATTTAAGGTTCCCGACAGATTATTAAAAAAAAGCCCGTCAAATTTAATCAAATTCTTATAATTTCAGAAAAATGCATATAAAGTGAATAAAAGTGCTTTTTAATGCATAAACAAATAAAACACTGCAACGGCAATCATATTTAAGGTCCCCGATTTCGATTCGATTTTGATTAAAGTTATAATTCAGCTGTCTGAAGGGGAGCTACTTGTTTCTAAAATTTCCAGTAATAAGAAACAAGATTGATGAACACATTAAAAATTGTTACAAATGTACACCATTCAATCCTACATCGGGTAAAAAAGAGGTAAACTAAACTATACCTATGATGAAAAATTTCCTGATATTTTGATATAGACTACTGAACTCATTAAGTCCGGGACGGTCACTTTTTCGATACTTTTTTGAGGCGTTATAATTTTGTCTAAAATTTTCAATTTTCAAAAATTCAAAAAAATTCAAAAAAATCTAAAAAAAATTCTTGCGTATTCTTTGATCAATTCTAAGAACATTTTCATCAGTAAAATTTTTTCCTTGAGCCCTTCTTTTTCTAGTTAAAAATTCTAGATGTTTTTTAACAAATTTTGGTGTTCTAACCACCATTTTGTTTTCTCAAACTTTATTTTCTCCAATCCAAACCACGATAACTTTTAGTTTAGAGTCCATGGAGGCTTTATTTGCACCCGAGACGCCAGGACTTCAACGATTTCCATGTGAAAATTTGAAAAGAAAAAAATTTTTTTTTTTTTGAAACCACGTTTTTATGGATAAAACCATCCATAACTTTTAACCGGCTGGTTATATTAAAAATCTAACACTGGATTAGAAAAGTTCATTACATTTTGCGTAGAATATGCTGACTCGCAATTTTTTCAAACCCCATTTTCAATAAAATTATAATGCCTCAAAGAAGTATCGAAAAATTGTCCGTCCAGGACTTAATGGGTTAAAAAAACATTTTAAAATGAAGTTTTATAGATTTTCTAATTTAAAAGTTCAATATCAAAAGCTGACGGATAGGTAAGATGACATTTCACTGAGAAAAAAGTTTAATTGAATCAATGAATTTTTAGTTAATTCAATGAAATAATTTAATTGTGGGTTGCTCATTAAAAATTTATTTGAATCAAAGAAAAATATGCAATTGTTTCAGTTAAATAATTTAGTTGATTCAAATAAATATCTAAGTAAATTAAATAATTATCCAATTCAAGCAACTAAATATTTCATTGAATTGCAGAATAAATTAATTGTTTCAAACGAATCTATGGTTGAATTAAGAATATAATTTCATTACTTTAAACAAATATTTACTGGATCGAATATAATATTTTTTTGAATGCAAAAATATACTTCATTAATTCAAATAAATATGTATTAGATTCGATTAATTA